CAAACCACTCCACGAATCACAAGAGTCATTTATCATGATTTTTTGAATTACTCTAACTCACGATAACCATAAAACGTATGTAAAGCCAAAAAATAAAAAATAAAAGAAGTCCATCAGTGGAGAATCCATCAGTAAAGTCCATTGTAAAAAAAAAAAAAGAGTAACCCGCGAGCTGGCTCGTTCAACCCGCGAGCTGGCTCGTTTGAGCTCGGGTTGGCTCGGGTCGGGCTAAATCGAGCTGGCAGCTCATTTTTGCCAACCCAACCCGGCTCGTTTTGTGCGGGTTACGAGCCAACCCGACGGGTTGGCTCATTTTTGCCATCCCTACATGCAAGTGAAAAATGCAGTTTCAAAAAGAATCAGAGCAAGTTCTAGAGGACAACAATCAAGAGCAGAATCACACAAGAAAGAAAAACTGGCCTACAGATTAAGACCATGTCTACAGGCTCAAAAATCTCACAAGGGTATACCAAATCATGCAATCAGCAGCACAATATCACGCAGCAAGTAATCCAATCCAAGAATCAAGAACTAAGCCTAAGCAGAAATTTCTATCAAACCCTGTGATTTAAGTCTACTCCATGTAACACTCAATAATAACCAGAAAGAAAAGGAAAATCTACCTATATAAAGAAAGGAAAAGAAAAATGCAAATAACAGAAAGAAAAGAAAAAGAGGGAAGAAGACTCCCTGAACTCCCTAAGGAGGATAAGTAGCATCAATGAGCAGAGCCTCTGTCTCCACATGTTGCTTCTGGGGTCCTTCATTAACAACTTTGAGGTGATGGCAAATCATTGTGCAAGTCTTCCCCATCTGCTTATCACGCAACTTTAGGGGCTTTCTTTTCTGTGTGTATTTCTTCTTCTCTTGATCCTTTCTTCCAACCTTACGCAAACTTTTCTGCATACTAAAAATAGAGGAAGAACTTTTTGGTACCCATTTCATCTTGGGTCCATGAGAGTTAGGATCAAAATCATTACCAGAATGGGGAGTCTTGCATAACTTCACATTTAGTACACATTCAGAATTAACATTAATAGGCAAGTCATAATCCACAGGTAATGCACAATCACTAATCAATTCAAAATCAACCTTATCAGCCACATCATGAATCACTTTTATGCATGAAACTGAATGATCAACCTGAACCTTAGAATGCTTCATGGAATCAAATATACTAAAATGTAAAATGCTATCACCAAATTCCATGGATAGAGTACCAGAATGAACATCTATCTTTGTCCTAGTTGTTCTCATGAAAGGCCTACCAAGTATAATTGGTGATCTATTAGTAGCAGTCTCACTCTCCATTTCTAAAATGTAGAAGTCAGCAGGAAAAATCAGATTATTAACTCTGACCAATACATCCTCAATCAAACCAGATGGGTGAATACTACTCCTGTTAGCTAATGTAACCACAATACTAGTAGCACACAAAGGACCAAGTCCAAGAGACTTATATACAGATTCAGGCATGACATTAATGGAAGCCCCTAAGTCTAGCATGCAATCATGAAAAACAGAATTGCCAATTACACAAGGAATAGTAAATGTCCCTGGATCTTGACATTTTTTAGGCATAGGCTGGATGAGTGCTGATACATTCTGACTCAGGTTGACTTGCTCATCTCCTTTCAGTCTTCTCTTGTTGGTGCACAGCTCCTTTAGAAACTTGGCATATCTCGGAATCTGCTGTATTGCATCCAGAAGAGGGATGTTCACCTCAACTTTTCGGAAGGTGTCAAGTATCTCTTTATCTCGAGCCTTTGCTGATTGCTTCTTGGACTGAGTGGCTCTCTGAGGGAAAGGCAGAGGGATATGGACATCAGATGTATCAGTGCTCTGCTTCTTGGAGCTAGTGTCACCTCCCTTAGATGACTCAACATCAGCTTGGTTTGGCTCTTCCATTTGCTTTCCAGACCGCAGAGCAATAGCACTCACATTTCCGCTTCCTTTTGGATTTGGAACTGTTTGGGATGGAAGGGAGCTGCTGGAAGATCGGGCCTGGTTCATTGATGTCGCCAATTGCCCGATCTGTGTCTGCAAATTCTGGATTGTGGATTCTGTCCTCTGTTGAAACTCCAGATTGTTGGTGGCCATCTGTTTCATTAAGTCCTCCAAAAAAGGACCACTGACACTGTTTTGCTGCTGCACTGGTGGTTGTTGTTGTAACTGTTGAGGAGCAGGTTGCTGGAAGTTTTGTCTCTGTTGTGGAATGAACTGCTGCTTTTGTTGGTATGGAAAATTTTGTTGACTCTGCTGATATGGAACATTTTGCTGATTCTGGTTCCATTTGAGGTTTGGATGATTCTTCCAGCCAGGATTGTAAGTGTTGGAGAATGGATTACTCTGCTGCTGCTGGAACTGTGGTTTCCCAGGAAAGACTGCAGCTACTAACTGGTCTGCAGGAATGGAGCCCTCTTGTAGAGAAGGGCAAGCATCAGTGGAGTGAAAATGGTCACTGCATATGCCACATGGATTGCCGAACTGTGGAACAGAAGTCTGGACTGTCTGGGTAACTGCCAACTGTCTCACCATGGTTGCCAATTCATCAAGTCTATTTTCAATTTGCTGATTGTCAGCACTTGATGCCACTGCTGAAGGCTGGGTCGGAGTTTCTTGCACCTGGTACACAACACTGCTATTGGCTCTCGTTCCAAACTGTTGAGCATTTGCAGCCATGTTTGAGATCAACGCCTTAGCTTCATTGGGTGTTTTGTTAACAAGAACTCCTCCACTGGCAGCATCAATCAGGTTCCTATCCATATGTAGCAATCCCTCATATAAGTAGACAATCAGCAATTGCTCCGGAATCTGGTGATGTGGACAACTTGCACAAAGTCTTTTAAACCGCTCCCAGTACTCATGCAAGTTTTCCTCATTTGCTTGTTTTATGCCACTTATCTCCTTTCTTATTGAAGTGGCTCTTGAGGACGGAAAAAACTTCTCCAAAAACAATCTGGCCATGTCATTCCAAGTTTCGATAGATGAAGGCTGAAGGTAGTACAGCCAATCCTTAGCTCCTCCATCGAGGGAAAAAGGAAAGGCTCTCAGTTTGACCTGCTCCTCATCAACTCCTTGCGGTTTCATTGTGTTGCAGACTACATGAAACTCTTTCAAATACTTATATGGATCTTCACCTGCAAGACCATGAAACTTGGGAAGCAAATGGATAAGACCAGACTTAAGTTTAAAACCAGTATCAAGATAACGAATGCAAAAAGACTGATACTTAACATCAGGTGCAGTCAATTGCCTTAAGCTTCTATTATCCATGTTTTTTTTATTGTGACCAAAACTTCCTAAATTATAAAAATAAATAAAGAATTAGGAAAAATAAAATAAAAATAAAAAACAAATAAAAATAAAAAATAAAATAAAATAAAATAAAAGGAAAGAAAGAGCAAAAAGAACCAAAATAAAAATAACAAGAAAAATAAAAATAAAATAAAATAAATTAAAATAAAATAAATAAAATGAAAAAAATAAAAATAAAAGGAAACTAAATCTAACAAAATCTAATCTAACTAATCAAAATGTAACAAAATCTAATCTACTGTTGATATTCACTAATTAGAATAAAAAATATATATAGAAACAGAAACAGAAAAATCAAAATCAAAATGAAAATTGAAGATTTTTTTTTTTTTTTTTTTTTTAGAAACAGAAACGAAAATTAAAGAAGAAGAAGATGATCAAGAATCATAAAACGATTTAGACCGATGCAATTTCCCCGGCAACGGCGCCAAATTTGACACGAGCTGTCGAACTCGCGCAAATTAAAAATTATTTTTTAATCAGGGTTCAGAAAATTTGCAGTAAAGTGGAAACCCTGAGTCGTCTCTCAAGGAAATTGTTTTGGTTAAAATCGCTTATGAGAACAGAAAATTAAAAAGGGGGTTTTGGATTTTGATTCAATAATTAAAAAGGCAGAATATAAATTTGGAATCAAAATTCGTAATTAAAAATAACCAACCTAAGGTTTGGGTTCCATGGACGTTTTTCCTCGAATAAGACGATATCAGAATCGTGATTGATTTGTCAATCGGATCAGAATCCTTATTTCCAATTGACAACCCTCTCTAAGCGATCGCTTAGCATTTGATCAAAGACGATGTTTCTACTCATACAATCGCAGAGTATCAGCCCGCTTGATTTAAGGTCATAGGGTCAATCAACCTAATCATCAAATCTGATGATTAATCCCTTTCCTTAATCGCAATCGCGAACCTCAGATTGAATATCCACGATCGCACGATATCAATCTGAGTTGGGAAGGGAAACAAAACTGATTTGAAATAAACGCAGATCCTCAAGACTAATCCATGGAATCCATTACCCTTAGGTTGATTAAAAGGTTCTTAGCCTCGCATGGCTAAGGTAAACATGATTGAAATAAAAAGAAGAAGAAGAAGAAAAAGATGAAGAACGCTTCAGAGAAAATACTTTGATCCTCAATTTTGAAAATTACAGAATGACTACAATGTTTCCTACTCTGCCGTCATATACCCCTACCCAAAGCGGGTTAGGGTTCAGTTCTGACCGGCCCATATGTCTAAAATACGAAATAAAATACATAAAAATAAAATAAAACTTCAGCAAAACGTGTCCGACTTGGCGCACGAAATCGACTAGCTTCCAATCCGAATTGGGCTTCGAGCTATTCATAAGAATTGTAGCCCTTTGTGTTATCTGAAAAACCCAACAAGAACGGAGTCAATCCGACAACTGTGGACCAAGATATGGCCAAAATACAGAAGTAACGTAAAGCTGAAAAATTCTGACGAAAATAAATTAAACCCAATCAAAAACTAAAAATGTAAAATAACTCAAAACATCATTATTTTATTCAAATAAATCCTAAAAATACTAATCAAGAGTAACAAATAAGTGTAATAAAATATGAGTTATCAATCTACATGCACTTCGTTTGTTTATTGCATTATTTGTTTGTAATTGTGTGCTTTATATGTTTTTTCAGAAAATATCTTAGAAATGATTTTGAGTCGAAAACCTCTAGATGGTACCAACTATGAATAAGTGAAAAACAAATTTTTTTTTGATATTGTTCTAAAACATGGAAGCTAAAATTTGTCCTGACAATGCGAGGGCCATAGCAACCTGTAGAAGATGCGTCTTAGGAAACTAAGATACATTTCTTAGATTAGGAAAGGGCAGATATGGTAGTTCGCTGCTATATTATTGTCAGTCTTTCCAAATACTTGCAGAAGCAAGTGTACATGATTAAGAGTGGAGTAAAAATGCTTCAGACTCTTAATGACATGTTTGCTGCGTCTAGCAGCTCTGCTAGACAGAATGCAGTCGGTGCAGGTTTTGCTAAGAGTCTTGTTAAATCCAAACGGAAACCCAAGGGTGGTAACAAAATGAGTTATCAGTTGTCAAACCAGTTGCTATGAAGAAGTCGCAAGGCAAGTTCTTCAAGTGCAGACTGAAGGGATACTGAAAGAAAAATTGTCCAGAGGTGATGAAAAGAACCAGACATGGGTATATTAAGGCCTGATCAGTGAATGAATCATCGATTCAGGAATAACTGATTATGTTTGTTACTCTTAGCAGTAGTTCAAACATGGTATGCCTGTCAGCAGTGGACAAAGATATTTTAAGCTTGAAAATGGGAACTTGTGTCTGCATTTGCAGTAAGACAAGTTATTTAATGACTATGGTTTTGGGTGACTGTTTATTTGTTCCGGATTTCAAGAGGAATTCAATTTTTGTTAGTTGTTATGGTTAAAACATAGGTTGACAATGCAATTGATTCCTCAGTTACATTTCGAAGTTCATCTTCGTCTTGTTTTGTTCTGGTACATTGTTTAAATAGTTTTTATTACCTATGTCCTATACCCTTTTTTTAAATTTGTTATGTTGAATGGAAAGGATGATGAACAAGGATTTTCACCAAAGAAATAAAAGTTTCAAATGAAACATAACTTTGGCCTTTGTGATTGAGTCACATTATCTCAAGTAGAAAATATGTTTTAGTTAAAAGAGAGACTGAAAGTTCAAGAATCTTTTAACTAACAGCTACATGTTAGTCCTATTTGAAAGGTAAAGTGGCCAAGCAATCCTACAAGGGCCAAAAAGGTTTGCGCAACTATTCAATTGGAATTGGTACATACTAAAGTATGTGGACCACTTAGCGTTCAGACCAGAAGAGGTGATGAGTACTTCATTATATGAATGTTTACCCTGGATTTGGACAGATGAACCAAGTGCGCTATAAGTCTAAAGCTTTTGGAAATTTCCAAGAGGTTTAAGTCTGAGGCAGAAAAGCATGTAGGTGTTCAAATCAAACCACTTTGGTCTACTAAAGTGTTTGGCTACCTGTCTAGTAATTTCAGGTCTTACCTGACTTAAGAGGGGATAGTTTTCGTAACTGTCAACTCTAAGAACGCGTTAGTTGAATGAAGTTGCAGTATCCAAAAATCAAACATTTCTAGACTTGGTGAAGATCATGTTCAGTTATTCATCTTTGCCAATGTTGTTCAAGGGAGATGCCTAAGAGAAGGAAATCTGTCTTCTTAACTTGGTTCCGTCAAAGTTTGTTGTAAAGACACCTAAAGAATTATGGAAGGGGTGCAAGCCCAGATTAAACCATATTCGGATTTAGGGTGCTACGGCACACGTCCTACAACAGCAGTCAAATGAGATGAAATCTTGTATGGAAGTGTGCATATCTTTTGGCTACCCTAAGAGAACTAGGGATGATTTCTTATTTAGTCTTAAGGACAAGATAATCTAAGTGAGCACTCACATGATTTTCTTAAAGGAGGACTAGATAAGAAATTATAAGCTCTTAAGTTAGGTTATTCTTGATGAGATTTATCTCAGATCAAGAATTTTCAGAATCTGTAGAAGCTTCATCCACTGTTTCCTTGATTGTTCAAGAGGGGATAGATATATCTCTAAGTGAACAAACAAGAGAACCATGATTGGAAATTCAACATGATAATATATAAGTGAAACTAGTAGAAATATTAGTATCACATGTAAAGGAACAATATCAAGGATAAGCGGATCCTCAAGAAATTGAATATCCATCATTTGACCCACTCTTTGTTTTACCTATAAATACACAAGGTCTAGTGCAGTACATTCATAGTGGGAGAGAACCTTGTTAACTCTCAAGTTGTCTCTTGTTGAGTGATATTGATCCTACTAGTTACGATAATGCACTAGAAGGTGTTGTTGATCAAGTGTTGCTCAAGCTATGAACAATGAGATAAAATACTTGTATTTCAACTCTGTTCGGTCCTAGTAAAGACACCAAGAGGGGTAAAACCCACAAGGTGCATGTGGACATAAAAGGCAAAGAGAGGATGGACAGAAAGGTGAAAACCTTCAAAGCTAGCTTGGAGGCAATTTTTGCCAGACGCCATGCTTGAGTCTATCCAGATTCTCTTAGTTGCTATAAGTCTCAATTATGAGATTTCATTTTGGGAGTTGGATTTCAGGATATCTACATACAACAACCAAAAGGGTTTATAGCAAATGAGTAGGAACACACGATATGCAAGTTGTGAAAGTCTATTTCATAGACTTAAGCAAGCATCCAGGTCTTGAAACATCAGTTTTGATCAGGTTATCAAAATTTTGATTTTGAGAGAACCTTGATGAATGATGTGTATTTGTATGTAAAGGATACAACGGAAGACAGTAGCTTTTCTGGTACTTTATGTAGATGATATGCTCCTTATTAGAAACAATGTGGAGGTAATATCAAGCATAAAGAGTTGGCTAAGTTAGTGTTTTGGTATGGAAGTACTGGGGAAGCCAATTATATTATTGGTATAAAACTCTTATGAGGCCGGAAGAATAAGTTGTTGGCATCACCTCAGGCTACTTACATTGACAAAACTCGTGCCAAAATTCAACATGAGAATTCTAAGAGAAGAATTATAATTCTCAGATGTGGAACTCATCTTCCTAAGGAGTGACCAAAGACTTCTAAGAAGGAAGAATGCATGAGCAAGATATCTTATGCTTTGGCAAAGGTAGACTCACGCATATCATGTTCGGCGTTAAACCAAACATCTGTCACGCAGTGGGAGTAGTGAGATAGTACCATTTTGAACCTAGAGGAATACTAGATTATTGTTAAGCATGTACTCAAGTATCTTTGGAGAACGAGAGATTATATGCTGGTATATTCTAGTGGGAGTCTTGAAAAGCTGAGTTTTCAAAAAATTCAGTTATTTCAAGTGGATATTGACTCAAGAAAATCAACCTCGAGCTATGAGTTTTTCACTAAACTCAGATAGCATTAGAGGTGGATCTTGCAGACCCAGTTACTAAGAGTTTGCCTGAATTTGTGTTCGAGAGGCATGTTACTTCTTTGGGTCTTAGGAGGATCCCAGACTTGCATTAAGCCAGTGGGAGTTATTGGTTTTATTGTGCTCTTGGAATAAGACGATGAAACAATAAAATCATTTTCTGAATTTCATAAATAAGGTTTTATTTATTTATTTTGCGCACTATTTACAAACATAAAGGTCCGAATCAAATTGTGGAGTATATGATCATATGGATACGTTCATGGAGGACATGATCATAGGATCTCACAATTGATGAATGGAGTCACAGCCGTTAAATAAAGTTGGGCACTTTATTCAGGCTGCAATATTTTATGAAATGATTTTGTCCAAATCATTGTAAAATATTGGTGTGAATTAACATTCACATTGAAAGGATCAAGGAGAGATTTGATTAAGGTTGTTTTTCTGTCATAAGGTATCAAATCTCCAGTTAACTATAGTTATGGGATTGCTCTTAATCCTGAGTTTATTATAAATAGGTAATCAAATAGTTTTCATTCTTTGATTTACCAACGGGTGAGGTTCGATCTATTGACGACCAATAACTCGGTATTTTGGGAGTGAGATTATTTGATTATCGGTATTTATGAGATAAACAACATGGAATTTGTAGGATATGTCCCCTTGATATGTTTCGGTACTTGGATATTAAAGACACTGGCCAGTGCATGTAATCCATTAGAGAAACTATCATAGTCAAGGGAATAAATAATTGATTGAGTTACAGAAAACTTGTCAATCAATTATAGACATTCTACAAAGGGGCGATGCATATTCATGTTATAAGTGTTGTTAATCTTGGAGTTCAAGTTCGGGCTTTTAGTGGAGTAGCACCGAATTAGATAATCATTCGTTGATTATCAGGAGCCTTGATTAATAACAGATGGTAGATCCCCAAGCTAGCTTGAGACAAGGGATGGGGTATTTTTCGGATAGATGATGACTTATGGGTTACATGATCTTGGGTTTTACGACTCAAGTTTGTATCCAAAAGAGCAAGTGGGAGATTGTTGGGTTTGCTCTTTTACTAAAGCCCAAATGGGTTATTAGTATGAGAAGAGCCCAAGAAACCTAGAGCCCAATGAGCTAGGGTTTCTTGGAACCCATATAAATAGTACCTCTTAAGTCATCAGCCAAAAAGGTCTCTTTTGTGAGAAAGAGGCAAGCTCAGAATCTAATCAGTGCCCACACACTTCCCCTTCCTCCTCGAGAGATAGTTTGGAAGATCTGCCACAGTCCAGCTTCAAGGAGGTTGTTCGTGCTGCGGCGCTGAGGTGAGCTGTTCGTGAAGAGGAATTCTACAAGGGAAGATTCTACACGAGACCTGCGCACCGAGAGGTAATTGTGAAACAAGGATGATTCGGTAAGCATGCCAATGTACTAGGTCCTAAACCGCTTCCGCATAAATCTAAGATTTCCAACAAAAATAACAAGTATGTTAGTACTTAGTAGTAGTAACGCTACCTGCATGTGGTGGATCTTGCACCAGATATAACCACAACTCGTTACAGAAAGAATTTGGCTGTAAACTGGCCTTGTGAAGAATCATAATTTAACCCGGGTGTGTTTGAGAGTCAAAATTAAGAAAAAATGGAAGGAAGGGGAAGATTTTGTTTATCTTTTCCTCTTATGTGAGTTTTAAAAAATAGAAAAATGAAATAAGGAATTTTTGTAAAACCACCAAATACTTTTCTCACTCTTAAAATCAGTAAACCCAACTATTTTAGCCATTTTGCATTTTTAATTCAGTAGAATATTTAGTTTATGCATGTTGTTATTCCCTTTACTAGTTTGTTAAATTGGGATTTTCTTGTAACAAACCTATTATGAACCACTTAGGTGGTTCCCACTTTCTATCCCCATTATATGGAGCATCTCATTCCACCACTCTCCCCTAACTTCCATCCACTACCAATAACCACTCACTACACCATTGAGTCACCTGTAAACTATCCACTAGGGGTACAATCTCCTAGTGCATTTCATCTATATATAACCACTTATAGCTAACAAAGGGAAATGATCTAAGAACTCACCTGATTACATATCTTAGTATTAATCAGGCTTGCTACCATGACTATAACCTACACATTTGTGCTCAGAGCACATCCGATCCACCGCAGGTAACTCACACGCACACCCCTTGTTCATACCATCAGACTTTCACCTAAGGTGCAGAACTTCTCATTGCCTGTCATCTTTACCATAAGCTATCCTGCTAGACATTAATGTTCATTCATTCCAGAACAAAACCCATAGTGGGTATATAGGCTAGATTGCTGAAGGAATATAGGCATGTTATTCAGAATCTTCTCCCCTTTACTCATTCCCTACAACTCCAACTTTCCTAGTACAAACTTACCGCTAGAATAAACTAAAATGTTTTTCTCCCGTTACATGAGAAAACTTATCTCATGTTACACACCCATCAAAATCCGAGCCAACATTTCTTTTCTTTTCTTTTTTCTTTTTAGTGTGGGACTCATCTAATTATGTCTCTACATAAGACAATGCTATCTCATTAACATGAGAAAAGCATTGCCCTATGTATAATAGTTGAAATATGTTCACCATTAACACCAAAAGTAAATTTTTCCAAATATATATATTCCACGTTTGCATGACTATCATTCCCCATATTTAATGCTTTCACATTAAATATGAAAAATCTTAACCATACAAAAGTAGAAATAAATATAACCGTTAAATTAATATAATCGATCTAACGGAAAAATAAACTGGTAGTGACATTAATAGTACCACTAATTAATAGTAATAATATCCTATCTCATATATATATATATATATATATATATATATATATATATATATATATATATATATATACATATATGCTAATGTATTAAGTAACGATTTTTCATCTTTTATCTTTTATTTAAACAGATACTTAATTCACACTCATGGTCTCAGACTCCACCCATGGGGAAGGTCATGCAGCAATTGTTCTTGGCCTGCTTCCTTCTTTTATTTAAACAGATACTCAATTCACACTCATGGTCATGCAGTAAGATTGACATGGATGGTTTCTTTTGTTATCCATATATCAAATATTGAAGACCTGGAGCGTGAAGTGTCATCAAATTGGTATTAAAAGTTGTTATGCACACTGATTTGTTCAAAATATTCTACAACAAGAAGCAAGCAACCAAAATGATTTCAGCATACTTACATTAGAGATTCTGCAGTTTGTTCAAGTCACTCATACAAATTTTACAGCAAAAAAGGGATTTTGTGAGTTAGTTATTTCACTATGGCGCGAAATTTTACACCTTAGGTGCTGAATATTTCATAGCATGTTACATAGAGTAGATTCAATGTATGATTTTCAGTGAGAAAGGAAGGAAGCAATATATAGCCAATGTTAGTATTAGCCAAGAAAAAAAAAATGTTACCACAAAATATAACAGCATTTGGATCAGCTAGTCTTTTGAAAATGGGAAAAAACTATTTATACACCACAAGAAATGAAAATGAACTCCTCAGCAAACTGAAGCAAGTGCATCATGGTAAGTATAGGGGCATTCCCTTCTCATTTCTTTGGCACCATTTTTGAACATCAAAGAACCTTCCCAATTTTCTATTAACCTTGTGAACGTTTCCCTTCAGCCAAGCTTACACGCATTGCGCGTCCTTCTAGTTCCTGAAGTGCATAATTTAGTGAAGAAGCAATGAGAAAAATCACAATTCTCTATTTACACTGTAAAGAACCATTTCAACTTAAAAAGCTTAAGCTATTAGGTTAAGGCTACATTAATGGTTTTATATAATAATTCTCTAACATACACAATGCGCAACTAGTATAAGAGTGAAGAGATGATGAGTAACATACCACATTATTCAAGGATACAAGGGCAGATTCCATCTCTGATCTTGTTGAATAGCAAACGAAGCCATAGCCACGTGACCTTCCGGTTTCGCCATCATATAAGACCCTAGCCCCAACAACAGTTCCATATTCTTGAAAGGCTTGTATTAGACTCTCAGAAGTTACTGACCATGACAGGTTCCCAACAAAAAGCTTATGTTCAGTTTCAGGGTACAAGGGCTCTTTTGGTTTAGGTTTGTTAGAGAAGTTAACCCGCAAGGTTCGGCCCAAGAACTCCTGAAAAGTTCATTTAGCATGCAAAAGGATTTTGATCAGGACAAACTAATTGAACATAGCATGTGAGTAAATGCTGGACAAGGGAAAGAGGCAGTGATTCTTACTCTTCCATCAAGATTTTCTATTACTGCATTACAATCTTCAATACAACTCATTGTCACAAATGCAAAGCCTCTACTTCTTCCAGTATCCTTGTCATAAAGAACCTAAAAATCATTAACATTGCTGAAAATTAGAAGATGCATCAATCAAATCATAATACGCAATTTTGATTCCAAAGACTTACAAGTTTGAGGTATGTTTACTTACAAAGAATTGCTCTATCAAGTGACAATATGTGACCAATTATGGAGGAAAACTTTGCCATTTGATTTTTCAATTTTTATTCTCTTTCACACCAAGTCACCAATGCCTATCTCTACTAATTTTAAAGTTGATTTGTCCAAAAATTTAATTTCTCTTTTTCTTGCAAATACCTTATCCATAAACATATTATCTAAACTTCAGTACAAGAATCTCTTACTAAATTGCAAATTTAGTTGCTTTTATTACATGTTTCACGTATGTTTCCACTTATCATTATACATATGTAACACAATATAAAGAGGGAATGGAAATATAATTAATAGAAGCTCCCAAGAAAGAAGCAATAAACTCATTGATGAGGAGAATGAGACTAATGAAAAATGAATATGCAGAAATTGGAAATAGAGAATAAGCAGACCAATCCCCTTCACTTACACTGCTGCACCCCTAAATATAAAGGAAAAAAAGTTTAGCCAGGAAACAGTGAAGGCATATCAGGAAGTTGAAGACCCTTTCAGATTTTAAGTCACTCTAAGAAGTTATTTGTGAAATAATATAAAATTATGATAATGCTTCAGCTGATGATCATGATAAGGCAAAATGTTTAGTTCACAATTAAGATAAGCTTCAAGAGATAACATCAAAATCATACATAATTACTATTTACTAATCCAAAATAAAAAATAATTAATTCAAGCAAAAGCTCCACAAACTACTTATCTATGCATGTATGTTCCTTTCCTATCTAATAATTTGGAATAAAAGTGTGTGCATCATTCAGGCCCAAAACCAAGACAGCATACTCTTATCTATGCAATCATTAGTTACACACCCATCACCAGAAAACCCTTATAAAACTTTAGATCACACCCTTCAAAGAAAAAATAAATGGGCTGCAGCCAAAAGTTCATGAATCTTACTACAGTAACTACAAAGCAAGATGACTTAAAAAAGTAGAGTAATTTAAATCAAAGAAATTCATTCCTAGAATACAATCTTTTAGCTCTTATGAATCCAATTTCAAACTACTTAATTGGGTCGTGTAGATCATGTTTGGAAAATATATACTTACACACTCACACACACATAATAAAGTTACATATATACCTCAATTAGTTCTGCACTACCATATTCCTCAATTAACCCTGCAAGTTGTGAACTATCAACACTGTAAGGCAAATTCCCAAAATAAAGCTTAGTGCTGACAGAGGATTCAGTGTCTCCTTCTGCTCCTATTTCCACTTCCTTGTCCTTCTCTTCAACCAAACCAGCATCAGCATCCTCTTCAGCATCCACTAGCACCTCTTCTTGTGCAACAGCAGCAGAAATTCTAGGCACCCACAATTTGTGTGAAATGGTAGTACCAATGGACAAAGGTTCCACAGATGATAATATGAGTTTAGAGGATATGGAAATGTGAGGATCTATGAAGCAGTTCTTGGTACGGAGACATTTGACAGTGTTGATAGAAGAAGAAAACAAAGAAGCTATGCCTGCAGAAGCTGTGGCAGCCATATAGTGATGATGAAACTGAACTGATACAAAGTTTGGACACCTCAACTCTTTTTAAGTGAAATGTGATGAAATAGAGAGAGAGAAAAGTGGATTGTTTATGGTGCTTATGGTGATGTGGCTAGATTGTGTCCACTGTCCACTGATATTGGCAGAGATAATTGTCAAGATAAGATGAGATGATATCCAATACCATATGTACAAATTTCTTTTATGTGCTTTTGTATAACATGTGAATGTGGATTCTAACTACAATTTCAATGTAAGAATTTCTCAAAATTTGACTATAATCATGTGTCTTTATTATTTTGGTACATTCATCCATTGACAATGTTACTAAATTAAAACGAATAAAAAAATATTACTAAATTGAAAAAGAAAAAACATCTATATTCTCATTAGTTGTGTTTGAAATTATTAAAAATTATAGATGATTTGTACTATTAATTTATCAATTTTTAATAATATAGATCTTTAATTATTAATTTTATCAGTTTTATTTTCTTGTTTGATTTTTCCATCTCTTGTATTCTTTATTTATTTACTTTTTAGATATTCGTAGTTGGGGTAAATGGACTAGGCCGGTCTACAGGAGCTTATGGTCTAGCCTATATTAGGTCAGGTTTGACCTATTACAAATAGTAAAATAGAACAGATTTAGGGTTTTAAAAAAAATTATTTAAAAAACAAGTCATAGACTTTTTGATACATGTCGGGCCTATAAGCTTACAGACTGGCATATATCATATTATTTATTTTAAATAAAATTATTATTTTAATAATTTTGAATAATAAAGTAATATTATTTTAGTTATTCTTTTAATTGTTGAATGTTTAATAGACATAAACAGGCTTAGACTAGAGCTTTTACTTTTTAAATATAGATCAGACCAGACTTGTAATTTGGGACCTATACAGGCTAACAGGCCAGACCCAATATTTTCTACACAAACCTAACCTATTTAAGCCAAAGTCTAACCTATTTACATCCCTTAATCCTAATAAATCCCGTTAATTTAATTTTGGATCGGTGACTTTCCACCATCCTTAAAAAATATGACTCTTAAAATTCGAACCTATTACCCTATAAGCACGTTAAATCTTAAAATCTAACTGGATTTTATATTTTATTTTCCTTTTACTTTTTACTTTATTTCTTGTGTCAAATATGTGGCATTTCTTATTAAAACTTTTTTATAAATTAGTGCCAATCTTACTCAAATTAATAGAAATTTAATTCATTAATTTTATTTTTAAATTTCACATGTTTATCTTGTACTAATGTAGCTATAGAGATTATGATTAACCGAAAATTATTTTAAAATTTAATTTGGAGTAAAATAATGAAAATCTTGAATGTATCTCAAATAATTAAGAAATTAATATAAAATATAATGAAATAGATCAATTTATAATATATTCTTATACGTAAAGTCTGAATGAGGAAAGTAATATGTATTGGCACGAGATAAAAAAAAATGAAAGAAAAAAAAAATATAGAAAATTCAAGGACTTAATTTTTTTATTAATTTAAAAAGATTAATAATAATTAATGTAAAATTTTAAATGGTAAATGCAACATATATAGTTAGTTAAAAACATTTATGTTCAGTATCAAGAAATGAGATACCAACAATTATTTATTATAATTAAAAGAAATAAGGTAAGAGCTGTTCCTTTATTCATGCTTTAATGTTAAGGTATGTTATTCATATTATCAACTTTTTCCTACTACCAATCCACTCTCATTTTAATTATTATTGGATCAAATTTTTCGACAACTTCTTTGGCAAAAAAATTTAATTATTGCATTTTAATTAAATAATTACACATTTATTGTTGTTTGAAGAATAATTACAGATATTTTGCACACTGTGACGCCCCAGTGAGGCGTCTCTCATGAAGGGAAGACGCCCCAAGGAGGCGTCACATGTGACGCCCAAAAGGGGCGTCTCATAGTGCATCTATATATTCCCCCATTTCACCATTTCACTCCTCACTCATTCACCTCTCTCTAACCTCTCTCTAACCACAGTTCGTAATACCTCCTATGTATACGTTTAAATTACAATGCTGGTTAGTAATACAAGGTTCGATTTATCATATATTGGAGACTTAGAACATTAGGATAGTCACTTAGAAATTTTGTGTCATGCTATGAATGTTGTAATGATACTTCCCTTTTTTTGTTACGTAGTTATTATTATTATTATTTAATTATGCATTAGGGTTTAGCGTATTAATTAGTGATTTAGAAAATAGTGATAGCGACTTCGTAAATTTTGTATGTATGATGTTATTAATGCGGAAGTGTATTCATAATTTTGAAGTCAGCTAGATGTGCTGATTAGTACATATTTATGAAGTTATTAGTAACCTAAGGTTAAGTATTATGTAAGTATGATATTATTATTGTCCGATGTTTTATTATTAATTAATTACAAATAAATGACTGTACTACGTATTAACATTATTTCATTAATTTTGATTCCAGTAAAATAAATGACTGTATGCTTAATTTTGTGATAATATGGCATTGCTTAATTAATTTGTAAATAAAATGGGGCATTACATGTGATTAATTTCAAAGTTGTTTTATATGATATAGTTGAGGGTAATGGTTGATTCGTCATCTTCATCCGGCTCTGCATCAGATGTAGAGCCTACTGATCCCAGCATGTACATCATACCGAATACGGAGCATGTCAGGAAAATAAAGACCAGGCGTGGGAAGCCATCGGGGGGCCACCTACCGGCGCTATTCCAGAGGTTGTCGCAGACTACCTCACACAGGCTGGATTTATACATGTTTCCCGGATGCGACATATCCAGGTATGCAATTTACGTCGTTTTGTATTTATGTAATTATTCAATACCATTCGTTGACACGTTGTAATTGCATAATTTATCACAGATCGATGCCCCTTTAATTAGTGCTCTGGTCGAGAGGTGGAGACCAGAGACACATACTTTCCACATGACATGTCAATAACATGAGCACGAATATTAACAAGAAAATAGTCCCATGTGTAACAGCCCGTTACGTACCGGTATTGTTAACATTAATTATGATATTAAGCGCAGTTACAATCACAGCAGTTCATTTATGAAACGCGAATAAATTTTTTCCGATTATTACACGAGCATTTAAAACATAAAAAGGCGTAATAATTAAAAGCTGTGACCGTAACCATAAACTCTTGCGGAAGACTTATTTAAACTATTTTTATCACTTACGTTACTTATTATAAGTTACTAAGGAGTTCCCATAAACTCACTTAGCCAATTTCCAACTTTACGTTTTACACCAATTCGAATATGTTACACTCTAAGTTTTTCTGCGACCAAACAGATCGCAACCAACCCTACTTCTCAGATTATATCTTTGTGTTACTTAATTCCCTTTTTAACAAGCTAAAATACGCTCAATTCGGAGCTCATTTGCTCCGGTTATCGCCGTTTGAAGTTGGATAAGCAATTAGCCCAAACAACCCCAAAAACAGCCCAAACCACTCACTTTGCCCGAATTACTGCACTCAATCGACTCAACCATTTGCTCTCAAATTTTTATCCTACAAACTAGACATCTCAAACTTCATTTTGACATATCACACGCTTAATTTGACGGAGAAACGAAGCGGGAATTAATTTCCCAAATCCGGTCCAGAATCTGCCTCAGGTGCAGGGGCACATGGGCAGTCCGTGTTTCTCTATTTATTTCAGGCCGAAGATCAACCCAGAATTTCCTCAAATTTTGACACAAGGTAGAGGACATCTCAACCTTCAAAATGACGTATGGCACGTCCCTAGGGGACCTCTATAGAGGGAGATATGCTCTTCCGAAGTTCGCCTAAAATCTGCCAATTCTACAGAAAATTCGCCAGAGTTTCCTTTGTTTTTCCAATAATCCCAAATTTGTAAAAGATCATTTAAAACCTCAATGTACCTAATAAACACATGATAATACAGTAATAATCCAATGGGTGGCACACACAAGGACCAACAACGCCTTGGGGCACTTACAACCCAATCCAGTTTATAGTTATTAAACATAGAGTCCATATTAATCATTCTTAAGTAGTTGCAATCACTAACACCTTTTTCATGCATATTTCCATCATACATATTATCATAACCTAAAATAGGCCTAAGGCCCTTCCATCATAATTAGACATGCATCAATACTATTACAATATGGCTTTACAAATTACAACTTGAAACTAAAACTTCAAATTACATTCTTCTAAAATTTCGACTTAATTAAAAGACAACATAACCAAATACATCACTACTAGACTTAGGCAAAATGGCATGAACAAGATGCTAATGAAGCTACTAATAAATACAAATGACATGTTCATGCCCTAAGTCTAGCCTAGGCCACACGGCCAACAAAATGCAAAATAAGAAGCGCTCCACCGCTCACTCTGCGGGCCTCTTGCCCGAGGCTCCTGCTCCACTGCTACCTCCTGAAATAAATGCCCCGAGACGGGGTGAGATATACGAATATATCTCAGTAACCAAGAGGTTCTGGAGAAAACTCCACCCAATGGTTCACTTCGATGCATATCAATAGAATACAACAACCACTTTGAAAACGGGATATAGCATGGGATTTAGAGAAGGGAATATAAAGAAAACAAAATACGACGATACGGGATGGTAACCCCAATTCCACGTACGCCCTCGGCATATATAAGCCTATGGGTATCATCCAAGGTGTGTTCACAGAAACCACAACCATGATGCCCAAACCAACCAAAACGCCAAAGACATTCCTAGTGTGCTCCTACCCGGATCACACACCATGACCGCAGTCAACTGGAACTCCCTCCTGGAGACCTATCCAGCGGAAGTCCGAAAATGCCCGAAGGCTAATAAAACTGTCTACTGGCCAGAGACTCGGTACATAAGTACCCATAGCAATAATGCATGCATGCTCATGTGTTCTATACTATTCATACACACTTCCTACCGTTGCCATCAACTGGCAAGGTGGAACAGAAAAGGGGAACAAGCCCCAGTACCAAGAGGTTACCTTAATTTGCGTTTCCACAAGCTC